CTTATGGAGAGCACGATTCCACACAAAATTTCAATAGGAGAATACTTGTCAAAAAATGAAATTGTACCACAGTTGATACATTTTATTTTTTGTGGCAAGGCTGCTAAGTCTTTTCAGACTAATATTTTGATGCCCTGAGTTATATTTTCTGCTTAAATGAGTGTTCGGTTGAATTGTAGAAGATCTGAACCCTAACCCTAACTACCCAAACCGTTAGCTAGGGTTAGGGTTAGTATTATTAGAAAACATAGAGGATGTTTGAGGGCATGGCTGTGTTTTTGGACAGAAGAGAAAGTTAGGAAAAGTGTTTTGATAGATGAAAATTTAAACTTTGCAGACATACCAGTTACAGTTTCAAGAAGGCTAGTCACTATATGTTTTCAATGAGGTAGCCCAAACAATTTTGGGGTGAGTGTATAGGTTTCAGAGAGGATTTATACAATGTTAGTACATGCATCCTTACTTTTTGTATTTCGGTTTTGCATAATAGCCTGAGTATTAAGAGAAAAGGTTAATTCGCAAATTTGGTAGTATATAAAATAATAGGTTGATCACAGAAACAGCTTAAAGAGCTGTATTAGAGCAGTTCACAAGAAAGCTCAGCTTATCATAGATGACCCTCCAAACCCTCTTCATTCCCATTTCCATTTGCTTCCTTCAGGGAGGTAGTTTGAATGCCTGTGACTAAGAAACATGTACACAAGAAATCCTTTGATCCCTTTGAAGTCAGTATACTAACTGCAACTATATGACTGTTTCCTGTATGGAGCTATAGGATTATGTGTAATGGTAATGTAATATAGGGCAAGAGGTGTGTACAGTATGTTTTATTGCATGTGAAGGACCATTGTTCATTTTAATGTACATTTATTTTATGTTTAGTGTACTTTTGGTAGTTTTTTACATTTGGCAAAGACAAAATTGTACCCTTTTGGTGGACAATAAATTCATATCTTATCTCTTGTTTAACAGGTTTCACCAAACTCTCAAAAATAACTAAGGTATTTTTTAGTAGCATCCAATCACATGGTACAGGAATTTTCCTAGTGGACTATGTTTGTATCTAGGCAACTGAGCACTGTTTTATTAAAGCAGTCCAAGAGAGCACTGACTTACTTACCTTAAATCTACCTTCTTTAGCCTAAGGTAAGTTATTCATTAGCTAAAAAATGCATTGTTATATGATTCATACTTTTAGAATAGTCATGTTTCCTTGCTGGTTTAATTATAATAAATAATGAAAAAATGATGGATAATCAAATGAGGCTGCATGTGAATATAACTGAAGAAAATTCACAAGATTCATCTCCTCTGCATAATCACATGCTGTATTTAAGTAATGATCATCATTTTGTAAACACAAAAGAGAGCATTTTAACTTATATTTTCCCTCTCATCTGATTCAATATGATGTAGAAAATCCTATGTTGTATTTTTGTTAGTTTGAACTGATTTAATGATTGATAAGCAGGGGACCAAATTCAAACTTGCATAGAAGGACAATAATGTTTGTTTTTCTAAACTATCAACACTAAGCAAGTAAGGATATTTCTTATAGAATTTAGAAAATGTTGTAGGCTCTGCTCTAGGAGCTATCTGTCCTTGTATCACTGGGACCTGGTCACCTTTATGTAATTTTAGGGAACCTTTGTTATTTTTATTTATGTTACATAAATACTAAATTCAATATTGTATACTCAATATTACACTTCATCCAGTCAAGATGAGTGGCTCAGTGTGTGGATGCCTACAGATGTGTTTATTATTTTAATTTTATTTTTTATGTAATTGATGCTTCATCACTGTAATCTGTCTAAATATCAAAAAGAGAGTTTTTTTTAATTTTTGTTATACAGTAAAACTTGACTAATGACTTTGCTGTTTATCTGTACATGTTTCACACAATCCTTTAGAAATGTAGCAGTTCTCTTAAACCACAATCAGCATCAGGTCTATATGTTTTGTGATTTTTTTTTAATTTTTATTTGGACATAAGCTTAACAAAAATAACTTAAATTATATTTTTTTATTCATAAGTTTACAAAAAACATAAATGTATTTCTGTAATTTTTCAGGTCTCTTAAAGAAGAAATCATGGAAAATGGGACTATAAATGTAATGACAGCTGGCTTTTCATTAGCTGGTTTTGATTTGACCCCTGAAGGTGTATATCTGACTGTCGTCATTGGAATTATTATTTACTTATTTTCTGTTTTCTGTAACCTGAGTCTTCTGGTTCTTATTGCTACAGACAAGCACTTACATGAGCCAATGTACCTGTTTCTTTTCAACCTGTCAGTTAATGACTTGATAGGGATCTCTGCTGTGATTCCCAGAGCAATTATGGATTTAGTGTCTATAAGAAGGAAAATTACTTTCCCTTTCTGTCTCATTCAAGCCTTCTGTGTTCACATGTATGGTGGTGCGGCTCTTCTCATATTAGCAGTGATGGCCTTCGATAGGTACATTGCAATCTGTCACCCTTTGAGGTACCATACAATCATATCAGGTAACACTGTGACAAAACTAATTGTGTTTGTTTGGGTCTTCGACTTTGTATTGATCAGCACCCTGTTTGCACTCCTTTTAAGATTCCCTTTCTGTAGAACCGTTCTCTCAAATTTTTACTGTGAGAATTCCACTCTACTTCTAGCAACCTGTGCTGAAGATACTAGTGTAAATAATATCTATGGGTTACTTATTACAGGTTTTCTTCATGCAATAGGAATATTTTCTGTTGTTTTTACGTATGGCAGAATTCTCTCCACATGCCTCAGAAGCAAGGAGTCTGAATCAAAAACTAAAGCTCTTTACACATGTGCAACACATTTACTTGCTTTCCTTATTTATGAATTTTCTAGCCTCATTATTATTCTTGCTTATCGATTCCCTCAAACACCACTGAACCTGCGTAGATTCATGGGAATGTCCTTTGTCATATTTCCTCCAGTTCTTAATCCAGTAATATATGGGATTAAGACAAAAGAAATAAAAAATTCTTTAAGAAGAGCTTTAGTAATAAGATATTTTTTATAAAAGAAAGCATAGGTTCTGGGCAAAGAGAATGTTGGTGGAGTGGATGATTACAGATATTTCTTGAAGTGATGATACTTTTTTTTACACCACTTCATCTAGTGTATTGAACTCCAGTGTAATGCCGATTTCACTTTTGCAAAATGATTCATGTTTTTTTTATTGCCAGTTTTGAGTACAAAACACTGAATAATAATTTACAATCTCACTTTGTACTATATTTTAGTTTATGTCTGTGTCATTACTAATGAAAAACTGTTGAATAAAAACCTTAATTATTTCTATATATTCTAGCAAATGTGTTTAATTATTTAATAGCTCAAGGGATAAATTGTGGTAGGAGAATGCCAGTCGATTGTTAATAAATAAATAAACAGTCAGACAGCAGGCAGGTCCTGGAAATATCAGTATTTATTTTAAATAAGCATTTTATGTTTCAAGTTGAACCCACTACTTATGGTTTTACTGTAATATAATTTAATTAGTCAGATTTAGAAATGTTAAACTTCTGAGATATTTCAGAAGTTTGTCATGTTTGCCTAATTCAGTTCAGATCATCAGTTTTATACACCTGTTTTATAATTCCTGATGTATGATATTCTTCATAAAAACACAGTTTGTCACTTCATAAGCTCTTTAACCAAATCTTCAAAACACCTTCTCAAAAATTCTAACATCTTTCCCATAATCTATCACATCTGAAAGTTTTGTTCTGAATTCTTTCAATCAAAGCTCTTGATTATTTAATAAAACCAAATACGATATTAGTCAAGATAAATCCAACCACTCTGTAAAAACTGTGTATATACAGTATATAAAACTATGACAGGAGATCTCTTCTCCAAACAGCAAGGGACAATATACCTGACCTACTGTTTAATGTATCCACAGAGATTAGTAACACCTGTTACTAGTTTAGCAATTTATGGATCAAATTCAATGATAGCAAATATTCCACTGTTCACACCTTGGGTACTGAGGATCTAGGAGAGCCAGTCCCAGAGGGATCTAAAAATAGATTTAGCCAATTAATGCTATTTATTCTATACATAAAGCTCTCATATTGGGTGGTCCCATATTGGTGATCCAGTAAAGGTTTGAACATAAACCATAAGGCTAGCTGTATTGACTACCTGTTGCTAACTGAAGCCTGTGTCTGTGACCAGGATTCCCCAGGCTGTATCATACAGAGTACTGCCGGGTTGAGGTTGTTACTAGTGGACCAATATTCTCTCAGTTATAAAAATAGCAACTCCTGGCACCTGTCACTGCCAGGCTGCGGTAATACCCTGTAACGTGGGATTGGGGCTGCAGGTTTCCACGGCACCTGATTCGCTGGCCAAAGATGATTGACAGGTGGCACTTGTGGTGCATTTGTTGTTAGTAAAATGATTGCTTAATTTAATTTCTCTACTTTGTATGTTTAAATCCGCTAAATATGAAATAGTAACATGGAATTTTACAACTAAAGGCAACTTTTGGTAGCTGGGAATAAAAATAACAGGAGCATAACATATCTGAATGTTGTAAACCAAATTAATTTAGGTTTATAAATATATTTTATATAAATATATTATACAGAATTCCACCATCTTTGTAAGCATTTGATGTATCAAAGTCTTTAATTCAGTCACTGTATTTATTTTGGAAGTTTTGACATGCTCTTTCTAACTATATTAAGTTGATATACTTCATAAAAAGCTGTAATGTTTTAACCTTTTCTATTAATCCTTGCTGTCATTATTTCAATTAAAAGTCTTGTTCTTTTTAGAATCTATTTAATAGGGAATATAATATGGAATCGTGTAACTAAAGAAATTAATAACAATATTACTTTAAGGATATAAATCTAATATATATTTCTGTAGCATGTAGTATGACTGTATTCTACTTTCTTTGTAAAATCTGCATCAATTTCTTTGACTCATTCACTCATGATTACATTGGAAACATTTTTAACCAATCTGTTTCAGCTATGTTTCCAAGTGGTGCGTTGGTGCAACGGGTTGGTACATGCACCTCCGATCTCAGAGACCTGGATTTGATTCCTGCTTATGGCACAAGTTTTTCTTCTAACAAAGACTGCTTTTTAAAAAATAAAATAGTTAATATTATTGATATATTGACTTATTTATTATTTTTATATATCACGTGTTCAATGTTAAATTATATTAAAATATGAATGAGCAAATGGGAATGCTGTCAACAGTGGGAGCAAAAACCAGTTCAACTGGTTTAATTCAGTTTAATTTCAAATACTTTATTCATTGCCATAGGGCAATTTTAATACAAGCCTTTACAACAAACCTTAGAACTAAATGGTATACACCACTTTATTCCAGTCCTGTTTCTCTTCTCTCTGTCCCATTGTCCTCAATATAATACATGAATCCTTGAGCACCGGCATTGTACCAACGGTCCTCAAAACTGCTGCTATTACCCCAGTGCCAAAGAAGCCTAACATGGCTCTCGACAATCTTAACAACTTTCGCCCCATCTCCAACTTACCCTTTCTCTCTAAAATTCTAGAACGTGCTGTCACACTTCAGTTACATAACCACCTCATGACAAACAACCTTTTCGAACCCCTCCAATCTGGCTTCCGTCAACTTCACAGCACAGAAACCGCCCTAGTCAAAGTCACCAACGATCTCCTAATAGCTTCTGATTCTGGTTCTCTTTCCATACTCATCCTTCTTGATCTCAGTGCTGCCTTTGACACTGTTGACCATAACATCTTGCTTTCTCGTCTCGAGACTGTGTTTGGAGTCTCTGACACTGCCCTCAAATGGTTTAAGTCTTACCTCACTGATGGCTGTCACTTTGTCTCTCTCAATGGGTACAGGTCTGAAATAGGTCTTGTTAAGTCTGGTGTCCCTCAGGGCTCAATACTGGGCCCCTTGCTCTTCAGCATTTACATGTTCCCACTTGGTCAGCTTTTAAGATCACATGGCCTCAGCTTTCATTTTTACGCTGACGATACTCAAATATACATCCATACCAAACCCGACACTGATGTGGCTGTCTCTATTCTATCTAATTGCATCTCTGACATAAAAATTTGGATGACTCAAAACTTCCTTCATCTTAACTGTGACAAGACTGAAGTCATGCTTATTGGTACCCCCCATCAACTTCGTAAAGCCAGTCCTGTAACCCTGTCTGTAGATGGCTCTGTACTTGAGCTCCAATCAAAATTGAAAAACCTTGGGGTTATATTCGATTCTGGCTTAACATTCGACCCACATGTACAGCATACTGTCAAAACATCTTTTTTTCACCTTAGAAATATCGCAAGACTACGCCCTATGCTATCATTAACTGTGGCTGAAAAGCTGATCAACATATTTGTATTCTCTCAAATTAACTACTGCAATGCTCTGCTCCCTGGGGTATCTAAATCTACTCTGAACAAGCTGCAGTATGTCCAAAATTCAGCAGCCAGAATCCTGACCAGATCTAGTGCAAGTGTTCACATTACTCCTATCCTGGAGTCCTTGCACTGGCTTCCGGTCAAATTCCGCGTAGACTTTAAAATCCAAATGCTCACCTACAAGGCTTTACATGGCTTGGCACCTCAATACCTGTCTGAACTTTTATCGCCCTACTCCCCACCTCGCAACCTCCGCTCTTCAAATTCTGCCCTCCTTACTGTCCCCCAAGCCCGTCTACATTGTATGGGCAACAGGGCCTTCTCCTGCTATGCCCCCAAGCTCTGGAACTCCTTGCCCAAGGATATTAGAGAGTCACCTTCTCTAAACTCCTTCAAATCCAGACTCAAAACCCTCCTTTTCAGAAAAGCCTTTACTTAACTGGTTCCATTCTTCACCCCTCTGCTCTTCTTAATACCATCTTCCACGGTCTCCTCTATTGTTATTGTTGTATTGTTGTAATTATAATTGTGTCCTGTCTTGTGAAATTTTCTTATTTATTGTTGTAGTCTTCTTATTTATTGTTATTGTCATCCTGTAAAGCGCTTTGAGAAGCCACCTTTAAAGGCGCTATATAAAATAAAGTTTATTATTATTATTATTATTATTATTATAATTGAGAATAACAATGTGGTATTAAAAAGACCACTGAAACTAAACTGTAATAATATATCTGATCATTATCAACAATGAATTTATTCATGAATGAATGAATGAATTTCAATAATTTTCTTCTGCATCATTTGTTTTCTCCGGTTTTCATAACCTTTGCTTTCTTATTAAATGCCTATTTATGATACAGGATGTTTCATATGTAAACAACTTTGAGAACAAATGACACAGAGCCTTCAAACCAAGGGCATTTTAAAGATCGTAATTTGTTGCCTGTTGCTTGCTGGGATAGGTTCCAGCTCCCCTGTACTGGATAAAGAGATTAGAAAATGGATGGAACTAAATGTAAATATGTGAAATGCCTGACCAGATATAAAGCAGAATAATCACTTTTTTACGATAACACGCATTATGCAATATTTTATATGCATCAGTCGAAGCGTAAAATAAAATGTCGCATAATACTGTACGGCACGATGGACAACTGATTCTTTAATTTTTTTAAGAAAATCGAAAATAAGAAAGAATAATGTGTCCTTGCCTTACTTAGACATTGCATAACTTTAAGAGATATAAAAAAATTAGGGTTTAGATAGTTAAAAACCACTTTTTATGCAAGAAAAACAGGCATTTTCTTCCTCATGATCAGCTTAGAATCTTTTTGTAAGCTGTTAGTTTAATTTTACTTTTTAATTAAATATTTTAAACCCTTTAATTTTGTAAACACAACGTGTTTCATACAGAAAAAGTCCCATGGTGTGAAGCAGATCAGCAGGTCGCTGAGAAAATAGCACACTACCCACTGATCTCGGTCTGAGAAGACTGCAGCACTTATGGCACCAAGCGCGTCTGCCTTTAAAACTTAGTTTATAAAATTGATCAAGTAACGTAAATCATTTCTTTTAACTTCAAGTCTTTTAATTATCATTAAACATAGTTTTCTTACCAGTTAGTTTTATTTTTTAAACCATCATTAAACAGCGGGAGCTTCGTGTACTTTCTAATGACATTAAACGTGGAAAGATTATACACTTTAATCATTTTTAATTTTGTAATAACTTTTTGAAAAGTTTCATCTATACAAATACCACAGACAAATCTCGACTGTATTTATGAATTTATGTAACACATGGTTAAATATTTTATATACATCTGAATAAGAAAGTCGGGTGTTAGCATAAACTATTAGTAATCAATAATTAATATAAAAATTTCCACTGTAATAAATTGTTGCACTTCTCGCACATCCTGTAAAAAAAAATAATTTACAAGACTTTGTTCAGATATTTGTTAAATCTGACTATAAGTAAATCTGACAGAAAATAAGTAAAATCCAAGCTTATAAAATAAAAAAAATTAAGGTAAAATATAATTTAAAATTAAGGTGTGTCTCTGCCTACTCTTTCTCACCTACTGCGATTCGGACACAGAATGGTGGGGGGAGGGGGGTGTCTTCCCACCTCTATGACTAAAATGCCAAAGAGGAATGGCTTAAGCGACAAACAGAGCCAAAACACTTTCATTCCCGTCTTCTCCACTTTAAAGGTACCCTTCTGTGGAAGAATTTTCACCTCGAACGTTTGCCCACCAACTAACAAGCAGACACAAACTAAATAACAACACAAAATGTATTTGCAAGAATAGTGATTACAAACATTAAAAAAATCATACGTTCAAAATCACAAGTCAGTCATTGCAAAATACACTGTTATATTAAAACTAACACTCTATGGGCACTACACTGTGAAGGACGCTGACCACTAGCTCCATTCCCAATAACTTCACGGAGGCAACGTCATGTAGCTAATTCACAGCTGCATACAATTTTATCTTGCCTCGTGAAACCGAATATCCAGACATTTGTCAAGAAATTTACTAAAATTATCCAATTCAGTAATCTCACTGTCTTAATCTCACTATGCGCCCCTGTAACGTCCCAGTGTGTGTTCTCTGTGTTTTTTTTTCTGTTATGTCCACACTGCTGACCCTTGATTGTTCTCCCTTCCCCATTGGCCCACCATTACACCACACTTTCCGTATGATGTCATCATCAATTAGCTCTCAGCCAATCAGAACTCATTTTATTCACTATATAACATGGAGGCTCTCAGGAAGAAAAGGCCTTTCGTTTGACTTCGGTCCCATTTGGTTTTGGTCATCGCTTCGCTTCGCTTCGCTTCTGGTTATTGCTTCGGCTTCATTTGTTGGTTTGTTTTGCATTGTGTGTGTGTGTATTTCCGTATAGCTTCGGCTTTGTTGTGTTGTTGGTTTTCTGTTAGTTTCTTTGTACTTTCGTTTGTTTGTGTGTTC